CCGTAGTATGTCACTAACACTGTATGAATGCCATCATGTAGAGGTGAGATGATGACCCCGACGATGATGAACCAGCTCACATTCAAAACAGGCTAATGATTTTACAAATTCTCTTCCAAATTACACGATCCACCTTAACATTCCTTACACAGGTGAATAGTTTTCCAACTCCTAAGCACCTGTGGTGTGAATAAGATTCCCGTTAGAAACCACTTCACCAGCCAAGATCATAAGATGTTATCTATGATACAATGGTGTCATGAGGTGGCAAGATATTCTATTAGTATTCAACAAATTGAGTTGTTAGAAACTGATCAGGCTGATCATCTTGGCTCTAAATGAGTGAAATATCCATTCAGTGTTTGGATTACTCTGTTCTGACTGATTGGAGAAGTCTATATATCAGTGTGAGTGATTTCTAACCATTCAAGTTGTTGAGTAGTAGTATGTGTTTACATACAGACATTATTATTGGTCTGAACACTCCTGAGAATTAGCAATTATGAATAACATTCCCCTCACCAAGGTCATCTTAAAACATCTGACGTAATTTCAAAAAGCAACATCCACGTCACTGGGTATTGCTGAAATGTTCAAAACATCTTGTCAGTGAATTTCATGCAACCAACCTATACATTTTACATTTCAGATCGACTGTTCTTTTGATCCTGTGGCTCAATTGCTTATCATCTGTATTCCCACCTTAACCCATCCCTTCATTTTCTGTCTCCAGAGCATCTGCTGATTGAATATCAACTCTAGCTGCCATATACTACTCATATACGTTCTTGTAATTAGGACGAACCTATGACGTTAAAATAAAGTACATGACTTTTTTTACACCTCTGCTAGTTTTTCTTCTCTCTCCTCTCAAGGTTGAATTCTCATTGGTTGTTAACTCTTTTAACCTACATGTGGATTTAGTGTTGTCAAGGTCGTTTACAAATGTATATATTAAGCATTGCATTGTTGTTGAGACAGTGAAAAGCTCTCTGTCAGCTGTCTGTCTTCTCTTCTTGTCTTCACCTGTCGGTGGTGTGATGGTTTAGAGTTGATTCGTTCTCTCATTAGGTTCATATAGCTCGTAGACTGTTGAGTTGTGCTACTGGTCATAGCAGCTATAAAGGAGTAGATGAAAGGACTGATTTACACAGTGGCGGATGCAGTCGATAACTAGCGAAATCTAAGTAAAAACTAAGCAAATAAGTTTGCATCTTCTGTATAACCTTTTTAAAGATATTTTTCCTTCACTTTTCTCAACCATTTAGAAACCGCCACACCATGATGCATATGAACAGAACAAACAAATTAAGAAAGTGGAGAAATGACTGTCGTTGGAGAGCAAGGATCGATTTTAGTCTATTGCATGTGTTTCAGGACAGGATTGTCAGTTATTTGTTCTCCTTGAGTAACTTAAAGTGAGTTGGGCCTGGGAAATTTCATCCCCTTTTTAGACTGCTTAGTCAGTTGCTCCATTGAACACAGATAACACCTGTTTACATCTTATCTAAATCTTTCTTGAAATCAATTTCCAGCTGTTCCATAGTGAAGTTTGTGTATGTATAGTTATTGTTATCCAGAGTTCAATCCGTAATCAAGTCGTCGATGCGTACTGCTAAACAGTCCTACACTTGGACAAAACACCTGTCTGATGCTCTGACATTATTAATGTTTCTCCAACTGATTTCAGTACGTGATGAATGCTACTTTAACCCATTAACCTCAAAATAGTTTTTTAAATAATACAACCATTGGCTCTTCTTATCTGAGATTCATGTTTCTCATTTTTTGGCCAACACAATGGGAACATTTCAGTATCCTTCTCCCCGTATTTTAATCTTTCACGACTTTCCATATGCACTAAAATTAAAAAGTTGGCATCAACTAGGACATTAAAGTTTGACGAATTTAAAATGAAAGCCTACAAACGTTCCCCTTCTTGATGTTACGTGTTTTTGATTGTCAGGATACTCTGAACCTTCTGAAAATCATCTGAAATCATATGAAGCCTATTGATGTTCCCCTCAGTGTTTCACATTGACATCACTCGACAATTACATCCGGTAGTCGGTAGTGACGAATATGTGTAATTCCCTTTCTTGCCGAGTAATTAATGAAACAAAAACAAATTTTCATTAGTTTGATAAAATATTCGGTCAATCAATAGAGATGAGTTGAAAACATCTAGTCAGTGAACTATAGAAACAGGCAGAAAACAAATTATGAATTAACAACACAACTGTTCAATGTTCGATATTCAAACAAGGTCAAAGAGAGACTATGAACCAGATTATTTTGTATCAGAAAGGTTAAATATTTTTCTAATAAAATTGGCTACTGCTCAGTGATTAACAAAAGTATCTCGTCGGCTCCTACAGAACGTTAAACTTGATGACGTCACCGGCTGATGTACTGAGTGACGTAGCTCTGAATCACACAGAGAGCATCACTTCTCTCATGGTTGTGGACACACCTTGCTGACAGGTCCCAATAGGTATAAACACTTGATGAAGCTCGATTTCCTGCCACTTGTCTATATCTAGTTAACATCATCGTGTATTTTGTTCATTACTGAGTCATTTGGACATGTTATTTACTGAAGTTCAGCTGACAAGTGGTAACCGATGGAATAAACTAGGTTGAAGGTGACGACAAGTACACAACACACAATACCATTGGATTAAGAGTAGCTTTTTATTGCGAAATGACAAAAATAGGCAGACGTGGTCAATCTGATTTCGATCACTTAGCTCAATCGTAACGGGTTGGCCATGAAACTTCAAGGTCATTGCGTGTCATGAGTGTTCACTCCTCCCGGCTCCATAATCAGGTTACGATAAATTTACAAATGAGCAATTCTTAGCATATCGATCCTCTTACCTTTTTAATTAAAGGTGTCATAGGGTTTCAAAAATGTCTCTTAGTGGTTCTGAGTCATTCTTTTTCTGATTCTTCTGGACAATAGAATATAGGATGGTGCAGTCAGCAATTTATTTGGAGCTTAGTTGCGTAACCAATGCACAAAAGCTGAAGGTAGAATAAAACTATGGATATGAACAGAATAATGAGTCTACAAATGTGCTGAATAATATTATAAGATTTTATCCAGTAGTAAGTTGATTGATTGGTCCCCGGAGAGCAGTCAATCGCATATTATCTGATTACTGAGTTACCTTGCTTGCTGATCATCTTGCATAATGACTGATAGCATTCAGCTAACAAACACGATTAGACAGTAGGAAATAGTATATAACCCCATACTGTTAGAGGTCAACCATACCTTGAATATTTATAACTGCTATTCTGGATGGACGTGATTTCCAATCTCAGTGAGGATATCAGTCCCTCCAAGTGGTATACACTTCTTGCTGACAAAATTGAGGCACAAAGCAGCTATCGATTACCAAAGCTATGGCTGTACACATAAGTGTCTAATCCTCAAACACACACATTTTGAATCAATTTAGCCAAACTTTGTCGAGAGCTTTGAAGAAGCTTTTCAACTAGATTTGATACGCCTCTTTGAAAATTTCAACGACACCGACCACTTTTTAGTCAAATGGTTACACTAGAAACTGAATCAAACTCCATGTTTCATTTCCTGAATGTCAAACACCAAAGGAGAACTGATCATTCCATTCAAAGATATATTATCTACAGAAAATTCACTTAGAAGAAGCAATCGAGAAACTTTCAAAGTTGAGTAGAGGAATCTTCTACGCTGGCTCTCATCTAGAATAAGAAAGATATGCAGTAGTGATGATACGCGTGTTCAAGGATTAGAAACCTTCCAAGAAATAATGTTAGACAACGCACACAACACAGTGAACTTCTTATTCAAAGGTGATACTGTCACGGATATCATTCATCAACACTTGTCAAAGTCCCTAACTGGAACATTCATGTCAACAGCTAATTTGTCAGTGTGTGAAAGACAAACTGGCATATTGGACCTCATCAATGTATATTTACCACTTCACTTGCTCCTGTAAAGCTAGACACATCGACTGTACTATGCACTTGCTTTAGAAACATTCTTAACAACATTACTCAGTCTGGTTGTTGAAGAGCGAGCAAAAACTGTATTCACCTTAATCGCTGAACACCTTGTAGACCCTGGACACTTGGTTCCTCTAAAAATACCCTTGAAATTTCTCTGCAAGGTTTGGCCAAACTGATTAGAAAGTATCTGTGCGTATGTGTGTATGTGTATGAGGATTAGACACTTGTGTGTACATCCGATGCTTTAGCAATGGACAGCTTCTTCAAACCTCAATTCTATGTTCAAAGGAAATGAGTGAGAACCATCTCTGTACCGTCAACTGAATTAAATACACATACTCTACATCTCTGTATCCATCTATTAAGTTTGACGTTTGAGTGTGAAATTGTCTGAGACATCTTATCATTTTGCTGATGTATTAACGAGTGTACACCAATGATAATAAATCGTCGAAAAGGTAACTGGTAAAACTCGTAAAACACCTTGAAGTCACCAGGACGGTGCCTCAGTACTATGTGACCAACCTGAGGAAATCATGAATGACAAACAGTTTCCTAGAGCTGACACATAAATCACTGTATGTGAAACAAAAGAACACAATTTCAGTGTTTCGGCTTCAATAGCTTCGAGAATATTGTTAACTGTTAGTTGTATTATCCTCTCATCGATTGGACAAATTTAACCCTTCTCTAATGACATATGGGCTCCTGGGCGGATGCCTCTGTAGTGCGTATGCTTCAATCCTATAATGGCAATGGATAATGGCTAACAGTGGAATCCAGACTGCGCGTTTCGTCCTTTGTGGGACTCATCATCTGAATGTACCTACCTCCAAACAATTACTCTTTGCCAAACAGTGATAAATTTTCATGAATAATACGGAAACGATTTCACTAATATAAAAAGAAAGCATAGGAGGGAAAGAACTGTTACTCATTGACTGAGGACATTTCTTAAGCGTAAAACCAATAAATTCAATCCATTTTACATGTATACGTGGGCATACGAAGAAAAATTCTCAAGGTAAAGTCACATGAACTCGTTTTTGATTGGTTATTTGGATTTATCGATCAGCCAATCAGAGAATTAGAGTAGACCAAAACACACCGTAGGCATACTTCGTGTGATTTGGATAGGCATTGGGGAAAAAATAATCAATAATTAGAAGGCTAGTCAAAATTATAATACCAATAATGTCTACAGTCAAATCATATTTGGGAAATTCTTTATTACCATAAAACATAATGGAAGTAGTCTTATGCCTTGATAATTCCAAGTTGAAGAATAAACGGTGATTACTTTCCTTTGTCATGATTATGCTCAATATTCTTGTGATTTCATTGAAAATTCTTACAATTTCTGGGAATTACGCCAGTGAAAAGCAAATATATGTTGATATCAAGCAAAAGTGAGTGAAATGCATACTGTATAAGTGAACTTTGGGTATTGAAGCATTAAACATCATTAGTGATCTTAAGGTGGTGGTTGTTCCAGGAAGTTTAGTGTGTGTGTGTGTGTGTGTGTGTGCGTTTCCTCTTATGACTGACTCATCAGCCGGATATACCTGCATCCTAGTGTGAGTGTTGTTCTTTATGCTGGAACACCAGAGAACTACCCCCCACACTAGGTTAATGGGATCATAACAGACATCTGGTGTGCAACAGGTAACACTTACTATTTGTATACCTCAATATTATTACGTTTAATTACACAATGATCTCATTTCATTTCTGTGGGTAAAAGATTGAGGTGAACAACGAAAGCCTACTCAGTTGCCTAGTGAATAGCCTCGAGTCCTAGTGGGAACGATATCATTCACCTAGAGGTAGGTACATTCATATGACGAACCACAAGAAGGACGAAATACAAGTCCTTAATTCTACTGCAAGCCACTAGACACTATCATTATTAAAATTGCGAATATGGACAATATCAAGAAATCTGCATACAGGAGCTCATATACCAAAGGTGGCCGATGAATTCACTTCAATCAACATTGCAGGTCTGCAAGCTGTAACATTAAAAGAAAACCTACACCTTATATGGTGACATATGAAGCTCTGAACAAAGTTGGGTTTATAAAATCATAAAGAAAATGAATTTCTTTCCTTCTGGATAGCTGATTTCTTTTCATACAATTAACTTTCAACGATGGTTTGTCAGTAAATGTCTACCTATTTGTGATAGAAATAATCACTGAGGCTTAAGTCAATCCAATCCAAGACAACAACAACAACAAAAAACTCAATGGAATGAAATTCTGTAGTTCAATAAAGTTACATATTCAAGTGTTATCATTTTCACATACTCCTCTGAAGGAGGAACCAAGTTGACAATAAAGGGGAACAGTGTAGCCAGTTACACTGATTGTGCTACCATAGCACACTGACTAAAGTTATAAGATTTCCATCTCATGAGATTTATATATTCAACCTATTCTTTCTCAAAATCAAACATAGATCACTTATCCGACTTGTTCTAAAACAATTTTTTTTCATTATGCTTAAAATGATTAATCGACAGGATTTATTCAATACATTAGCTAGATGACATAAACTTGATGACTTTCTAGTGGTTAATCAACTTATCTAATCCATTTCTATAAGGAATCAATCACTTCTAGGATAATTCACTGATAAAATATCTGTCTGTAGTACTGAGTGACAAGAATTCCAATCTTTGAGAGGATATCAATTCCTTCAAAGTTGTAGATATATGCTACTGACAAGTGCCATTAAGCATGAAACCTTCTTCAAGTATTTCTTTCTGTTCATCACTTCTTATTACCTAACGCACATCTTTCATCTGATTCACTGTTTAGCAATCTTGGCTACTAAATATCATATAAAGTCATTTCATTAAAGCAAACATTTTTCATCATGTCGTATACAAGTAAGGAGTGACTTTAAAAGCCAACTTAAAAGTTACATCAGGCGTAATTATTAAGTCTTCCATTCATGTCATAGATTTTAATTCTAAAAGTCAAAACGATTGATTAAGTACATCTAAAGTTTTGGAGAAACTCAGTGTTAGAACTCAAGTGATCTTTAAAGCATTACACTTCTAATACAAAAAAGTCAACCAATCAAGTTTGAATAACCTTCACTTTATTTATGCATCAAGACCCAGCCAATCACATTGTTAAATGTTCCTGTGAGGAAACTTGAGGCAAGTAGCTGACCAATCAAGTTTAGCAATCGCCCACACATTCACCGAGTAACCAATTAGATTAGATTCGGGCAGAGTAACACATTATAAATATCTATGTATGTCCATTCCATTGTAGAGCTCTAATGGAGGTGTCTAGCATGACGTTGAGACGTTGAGCAACAAATAGTCGACACTACAACTCTGATTGTCACATAAACGTAAGGTTAACAAGAGAGCAGAGTTGAATAAATTTTCACTCATTTAAACAAGTCTGTTTTACTTTATCGGAATGTAAATCATTTTAATTTTATAATTTTCCCGGATTTCATTGTTTTTTACCGCCTAAGCTGTACTGCGTGCTTATTACTGAACTAACTAAGCTGCTTCTTTGATTCATCTGTCTAGTGTTATAACCATGTCCGGCTGTAATTGACTTCAGCATGTGGTACTGCTGAATCGGTGTTAACGCTGATCTTGTACATGATAGGTCTGGTGTACACTTACTTAGTCCTGAATACTCAATCCACCCACGTGATCAGTCACTTAATTTCCCCCACCCCTGAAATGGCGTACAGCAGAACACAAAGCCTGATGTTTACTGAGCATATATTTCAGGTCGTCTAAGTCGTCCATACGTACCCGATCACAATGAAACATAATTTATAACGATGAAGGAACTAATTTCACGTTTTCCATTTCTTAGTCGGCATAAAATCTAGTTTTCCAGTTTATGTGTGAATATAGGATGGAAATGCTGAGCGGTTTGAGTACGAACCAACAGAATCCCTTGAACTCATATTTCGTGACCTTGGCCACTCCTCAGCAAGGCTTCGCGCTAATCTGGATGGAACCAATGTCCACTCATAGATCCAATCCTTTGCTGTAGGACTCAATGGTATAAACATTGACTAGTTATTGAAGGATAACTCAGGCACTGACTAAGTTCCATCGACTGAGTTCAACCAACTCATTGTGCATCGCATTACTTAATGAGTCGTGTAGCGTAACCAATATAATTTGATTAATGTTACGCCTATTACTAGGCAATCAGATAGTGGTTACTCTTCAGTGACCAGTAAGTGTCATCAAATGATTTGAAGACTATAGTTTCAGTTAGTAAGGAGCTGGAAATCAGATGTTGTTGGGTAACTTTATTCCACTCTAGTTTATGAAAATCTTAGCTGTGGTAACTCATTGCATGATATAAAATCCAATTAAGAGTAGTTCAGTGTATTGAACAACTCGCCTAATTTGATATGAAATACTAATTGAAGCAGGTTAAAACAAAGGTATAAGGTTGTCAGATGAAGACGTAACATCAGTCTGTAAAGTAGTTAACTCTTGGGCTGATTTGTATACGAAAGTTTACATTGTCTGAGTGGACTCCCAGAGACAATAAAAACCAATGGTCAGAAAATGTTGATGATATACCTCAAAATTGATTAAACGGGCTCAAGTCTATGTATCTCTTATCAACTTCATGGTTGGGATTATGTGAATTGGCTTTCTTCTACCCTTATGCCCATTTCTTTATTCACTTCTTTTGTGAATTCTATTGTGAAGTGTGGCAACTTGAAGCCGTGTACTTCTATGAGAGGTTCTATGTTGACCTGTCTGTTTTGCTGCGTGCATGTCTTCTTGTCTACTGCTAGAGAACATTTTATAGGTTAATCACTGTGTTGAAATACATTCCTTCATATTTCTTTGATACAGCTTCATCAGCAACTATGTATTCTTAATGTCGACGTGTTTAATCCGAAAAATAAGAACTTAGATAAATACTAACCAGTAATGAAAAGAAACGGAGACAAAAAAGCTTAAGAGAGAACCTTTTCCCGATGTAAAAATTTACTACTTATAATTTTATTAGTAACCTGCAAATGACATTGTGAAAGATATACGTTATCGTATATACCAAAACAATCTATCCCTTGTTAAAATTTAATTGATAGGAGAAGTGCATTTCTCCCGACTTTGACTCGTCAGCTGAATGTATGTCCATGTTTATGAGTGATGGTGATCGGACGAAGACTCAAAACACACACCCATCACTTCAAACACTATAGCGTTACCCACTAGGCCACCGTCTTTTACAATCGGTGTTCATCATTGTAATTGTTGTCATCATTATTTGTTGATATTTGTTTTGTGATTCTGAATCAAACTGATCGATCTATGATAGCGCAGGGGTTTAATAAAACCTCAGATATTGAAAAATCAAGGTTTCAAAATTAATTAAAACTATCCAGGAAGATGTTACTTTTTAAAAAACGGGGGGGTTGTGCGGATTAGTGATTTTTTAGGTTGGTATTCATAATGAACTGACACATCAATTTAAGGAACATTTGAAATTACGGAGCACTGAGCAGCTGTATCGTAGTATGGGACTCCTCGGTAGCGCGCACCTATCACCATGTTCCGCACTACCAGGGATCGAACTCAGGACCTTCAGGTACCGTGGTCAACACGTTTTCATTGAGCCACTGTGTCGGAATCCAATGGTCAATACTTCCATCTTCTAGCATTCAGATTCAGCTTTAGTTTTCCCAAAAGTGAATGATTTTCGCTGTAGTCACAGAATGTAAGGCTAATAAGTACTGGTAATCTTTTTGAACACCGGAACAGGCAGGCTTCAGGAAGCGCAAATCATGTGCGGACCAAATTACAACGCTTCGCATCATCATTGAACAAAGTATAGAATGACAGTCAACTCTCTCTCTCTCTCTCTACCTCAACTTCATCTATTTTGAGAAGGCCTTTGACAGCGTCGACCGACAACTAATTTGGAAACTGCTTCAGCACTACGGAATACCACAAACCTTTATCAATCTCATTCAACAACTATATGAAGACTCCACATGCCAAGTAGTTCAATTCACAATGTGAAGCTCAGTGATGTCTTTGAAGTGAAGTGAAGTGAAGTGAAGACAGGAGTAAGATAAGACAAGGTTGCCTACTATCACCCATGACATTCCTGATTGTGTTGTGGTCGACTGGATTGAATGATGCAAGAAACAGTGAGGAGCTGTGAGAAGAAGGGGTTGGGGATATGCTGGCTGTACTGGGGAAAAGATCCTAGAAGATTTGGATTTCGCCAACGATGATGACTTGTGTCTGATGTCTTGTCGCACAAACTGGAAGATGTATAGGTGAAAACCAACAAGTTGACAGAAGAGGCAGGGCAGGGCAGGGTAGAGAGGGAAGACGGGACTTCAAGTGAATATAGAGAAGATAGAGGTGATGAAGATATCTAACCAA